CTCAACGTTCATCACTCACCTATTAAACTTGCCAGAGTTGCTACGTTAATTATCTCCCCGTATCCTTGATTTAGCATAATACGGCCTGCAGCCTGTGACAGAAATTAAAGGAAAGACCGGTGACCTCTTTTGTGATTGTGCTAATAACTACATGATAATAAATTAGTTTTCAATTTTCAGAAGACTTTACATGGTAAAAAAAAAATGGAGCAAGTACAATACACAAACTTAAAAGAAGATGGCTGAGCAGCACCAACTTTGAGACTGTTTTTAAAAATTTGTTTCCAATCAATGTCAACAGGAAACTCGAACAATTGTGATGTTATTTACTGGGCAGGGAACATTACTGGATATACTAGTCATGAGATGATGTCAGTTTATTTCCTACATTGGATGTTGTAACATTAAAAGCCTACTCATTTGATGTTTTCAGGGATAAAGGAAATTATGATACCTACACACTGTACACATAGCACACAGGACACTCACACAAAAGATTTCTGCAGTCAGACATATTGACTTGAAGGATTTTTACTAATATCAGAATAAAAACATGCAAAGTAGAATGACTTATATAGTGATAAAGAAGGACCATGACTTCTTGGTATGTTTTGTGCCTTTCTTACATCTGCTCCTGCCTCTAACAGCTTTCTTCCTTTGGCTGACAAAACACAAATAAGAATGTACAGGAAGCATGCCCTCACTCTGATGTACAATAATATGTAGCTAATTAGAAGAATCCGCCAGCTCATTATGCTAGGCAGTAGGAAGTAAGAACCTACATGAAAGCATGACACTTGCTAAGCCCTAGGATGGTGTCAAAGCTGAACTGGCCTCACTTTCTTCTATTTCTTTATAGACTTGGTTGGATGGCAATTTCATTCCTTTAAAATCAAGAGTTTTGACTTTCAGGGAGAAGGATCCCTTGAACACTGCACCATCTTCTGGCCAAATACTGAACTACAAGTTCTTAATTAAAGGGTAAAGTTCCAATTTTCTAAGAACGTCTGCTGGTTTAGCACTTGGTATACTTTATTACTCCTATTTTCAGACAGCATAACAGATCGATGAGAAATAAGAAACGTCTGCCTTCTAATTAAATGAAAAGGTGGTGGAACTGTCTTTTAAAACTGCTTTGTGTTTCACAGTCTTAAATAATTTTTGATCCCACAAGTATTCATGGAAAGCCCTGTATATATTTGGCATTTACAATACACTGATTGGGGCCCAAAGAGGTATACAACATGGTTCTGGCCCTCTGAAAGCTCACAACCTATCCATACAATGATGCACTGTAAAATGGGTGAATTCTGAAGAGCCTAGACCAGAAATGATTCAAGGAGAGATCTGAGGATTGACCTTGGTGGAAAAGATTTATTCCAGACAGTGGGCCTTGAATCTTGAAGAACAGTGATGATGTTGCCATTACTGATGCTTAAAAAATGCAAGGCACTGTGCTAAGTCCTAACAAATATTACCTTAATTAATCCTCAAAACCACCTCATCTTGCTGACGAGTATCCTGGCAATGGAGTGGAAGAGATTAAGACTCAATCTTAGCTCAGCTCGACTCCACAGCCCATGCTCAGAACCACCTTGCTTGTACTATCTTCCATGATAAGGATTAGATTCTCAGAAAGGATGACAGAGGGGGTTTCTGGAGGAATGGGACAAGTTTAATAAAAAGCTCAGAGAGAGGCAAGTGCAGGGCCAGCTCTATCATTTCCCTCTAGAAGAGACGCAGGATAAAAACCTCTTCAGGGGAAGGTAGAGCTGAGGGACTTACCTGCTTGACGCTGCATTCGCAGAGGAAGCAAACAAACAGATCCTGCCCAGAGAAAGTAAGAAGAGCCAGTGGGACCATGGGAAGGGCTAACCTCCAGGCCAACCATGAATGCTGCTGCTGAGAGCACGTGCTCCCTTCTCAAAGAAGAGCGAGGAAACCAGTGGAGGTAAATAGCTATAAGGTTCAGAGGGCAATTCGAGGAAACTAGATGGGAAAAGCAGGTTGGAAAAGACAAAACACGTTTAGAGAGCTAACAACAATATGAAGGTTCCAAAGGAATAAATAGTAAGCAGTAGTTTCCTTCACTGGTATAATCATTCATTCAGTCATCAAAATGATTTTGTTCAAGAGCAAAGGATCTTAGGAGGTGGCAGGATCAAGTGAGGATTTTGCCAGTTAAGGCTGACCTGGTCACTATCCACAGCCAAAGAAAGTCAGTCTAGAGACAGTAAAGGGAGATGCTACAGAAATAAGGCACAGTGAGAGAGTATAGGTAGGAAGAGCATGGTAATCAGCAGAGATTGATGGAGCCAGTCTCCAGAAAGGTTCTTTTCAAAGATACGTAAATAATTCAATCATAGCCTACAACAGGGACTGCAGACTCAGATTTGCCACAAGTAGTAAATGTGCACGGTGGCCTGGCCAGATGAAACGAGGAGGGAGTGGTAGAGGGGTGGCAATCTGGAGGCATCGTGCCCTGTCTAAAGGGGACAGCTGAGCCTCAGCTCAGGCGGCTGCCAGGCCAAAACAAGAACCCAGAATTGCCAGATGCTCTGATATTTCAAGAAAAGCTAAAAAGACAGGTTTCTAAATACAGTCTCTCAATGTGTATGTTGTAAGAAATTTTAAAGAATTTTAAAACACTAATGTGAGCCAAACAAAACACATCTGTAGTGCAGATGGGACCCACAGGTTGCCAATTTAGGACCCCGGGCTTAGAGGAAAGATGTGAGCGTGGTCCTCAGACCTGGTCATGGCTCTGAGTGCCTGACTTCCAATTGTATTTACCAGAGAGGGAAGTGGTCTCAACTGGAAGGTCTTGCCAGCATCTGGACCACAACATGCCCAAACCCAAATTCATTTTCTTTCCCCCACCCCCCTCCTCCTTGCTGTGCCTATCTGTTCTGGATACCACTGCCAGGGCCGAAGTCCTCACCTTGGAAATGGCTTCCCTCTTTCCTTTACTCAACCTTCCAGAAGTCACATCCAAAAGTCATATCCCCTGCAGTGACTTGCATACATCCTTCTTTTTGACCTATCTCCACTGTCATCATCCCTAGTTGAAGCTCTCGTGACTTCCAATCTACACCTCTGAGATAATATCCCCACCTCCACTCCCTCCCTGTTCTTCTCATGCTACACATATCACTGGACTCATCTTTCTAAAATATAGTTCTTTTCTGCCACCCACTTCAGACTCGGCCCAGAAACTTGTAATGACTTTCATCATTACTTATTCACATAAGTACAAACAACTTCAGCCAACCTGCATCCATTAGGCTTCATGATAAGGCATCATCACACCGTCACAACAGCCCAGTATTTCTTTCCAACTGAAATGCTCTTCCATATCTGTGCATACCCTAAGCTTCTGAAAGTGTGAATGACCCAATTTCCAAATGCTGCCCAAATTTTCATGTATGTAGATCAGAGTTTCTCAGTGTCAGAACTACAGACATTTGGGGTCAGATAATTTTTTTTTGAGGTGAGGGGAAAGAAAGACTGTCCTGTGCATTGCAGGATTTTTAGTAGCATTTCTGGCCCCTATGCACTAGGTATCAGTAGCATCTACCCCTAGTTGTGACTACCAAACAGGATGCGATGGAAACAGCTGAGCCCTCATTTCTCTCAGGATAACCTTCAACTTAACTTGAACTCTCTAGATCTTCATCAATAGGCAGCAGAAGAGTTTGCTGAGAAACAGCCAGAGTGACTGAGGAAGGCTGGCCACTGATGAAAAGTTATTGTGTATGAATTATAAAGAGTTAACACATCTCTTGACTTTTTGATCTCTTATCAGAGGAAAAGCACTTCCCCCAAGAGGTTTTGCCTCCTTGAGTCCTGTGCTAGGACAAATTCCCTTACTCTAGGTTCTCACAGCACAGACTTATTATTATAATCACTCATTTAATGTTGGTTTCTCTTCTGGGCTGTACCATCCATGAGGGCACAGACCTGTGTGTCATCATCACAGGCTCCTAACACAGTGCCCGACATGGAGAGGGCACAAGCTAATCAACCTTCCAATAACAGATCTCCCCCTCATCAAATTCTAGCAAATCCCTAGTCTCTTTTTCCTTTCAGATGCAGCTCAGGATAAATTGATAAATGATATCCATGAAGACATCCCTAACACACACCAACTGACAATGACCTTTCTTCTCCTATAAATCTAGACAGCGCTTCTCAGTGCTTGTTACTCATCAGTTTCCATATAGATCACGATCACCAACGAAATTCAAGATCTTCAAGAGAGTCTCTATCTTCAAGGTTTTTTTTTATTACCACCTTTAATAATAAGTATACAGGTGATAGTTCAAAGTATTTGCAGGTAAAATGAGTAAAATGGCTGAAAAGCTTTCCATAACCAAATGGAATCTTGGAAACCAAATTTTGAATTTATGCTGTCTAAAATGCTTACCTAATGTTTTCTTCCCGTATCTTAAAATTAAATTTCTATTGATTCAAGTTCAATTATTATTTACTTGTACAATAAATATGTCACTTTACAAATAATGTATATAAGAACCTTCCAGCAGCACACATTTTTATCATCCTACAAGTCTGTGGTCTGGTGGAATGAGTTCTTTGTTATAAAAATATATAGAGTTGTGAATTTCCTCAATCCATAAAATGGGTACATTAACATCCGTCTGATGTCAAGGGTAGTAAAAATACCTATAAGCTTAGGGTTTGGAGTTCTACAAGTCAGATCCAAATCTGTATTCTACCTCATGACAGCTGTGGGCTCTTAGTCAATTATTTATTCTCTCTGCCTTGGTTTCTAGCAGATATAAACTTCTATATATAAAATCAACAATAAAGTCCTACTGTATAGCACAGAGAACTATATTCAGTAGCTTGTAATAACTTATAGTGAAAAAGAATATGAAAAAGAATACATATGTGTGTAACTGAACCACTACGATACACACCAGAAACTAACACAACATTGTAAATCAACTATTCTTCAACTAAAAAAAAATAGAACTTACCTATTGAGAGACATACATGATGATGTTAATTGCTGGGAAGTTGCTGGTAATCAGCAAGTGCTCAGTGAATGCAGGTCTTCTATAACTATAGAGAAAGAAATGAGAGAACGTAATCAGAAAAGAATTCTGGACAAGAATACTTTCGAGGGGTGACCCATTTCTTGATGATTGGAAAGTTAAGTGATAACAAGATTGGTTACCTAATATCCATTTAAACAAAATTCTAACTTCTCAGTCCTGTGGCCACAAAGTCAGCCCAGAGTTTTTGGACTGAGACTGGATCTGGACCCAGGACAGGCAGTATAGTTCAAAGGGTATAAACCTGTCATTTTCTCCATTGCTCTTGGAATTTCAAGGACATCTTTTCATTAAATCTGGTGATTCTAAATATCCAAATCTCTTCTGAGTTAGTTGGACTTTGCACCAAAACGGAGGCAAACTAGAACTGTAGGTTCAAATTCATGTCAAGCAGAAACCAGCTTCATGCTACAGAGTTCAAGCCCTGGTAGTGAGACCCTTTCACATTCCACAAACTGGGTGGAGAGAATAGTCTTCATCCATCTCTTGTTCCTCCTGTGCAGTACAAGCCGCAACTCCCTCTATTTATGTCTGTAAACCTGCCTTTCCTCATCAACTCTCTTGAGCATGAATGAAATTCAACTGAATTCATGGGTTAGAGAGCATTTTTCTCTAAAGGAAAAAACAAGAAATATCCTGACCAATTCAGAGCCCCAGTTTTTTATATGTGTATTTCATTCACTCAACCAATACTGATCTTAAATTGAAATATCAAATAAATGTCTCGAATTTCCCTTTCACTCTGGCTCTGAGGCTCTGGATTTTGTTTGACCTTGAACAAGATTTTACTCTCAAATTTCCCATCAATAAAGCAGAGATAATGACAGTATTTGCCCACTGCATGGGGGAATTGTGAAACTTAATTAATTGAAATCTTGGATGAAGTGTGCTTGCAACACCAACGTTCTGCATTACTTCCTGACCTGTATATGAATGAGTGTTAATTTAAAAAGACAAATTCTCCAATTTATAGCATGATTGTACAGTGGAGTTTTACACACACACACACACACACACACACGTGCTCATCCATATACATATGTATATGCATATGTATAGCTTGGCATTTATACGAATGTGTGATTTCAGCACCAAATCAGCCAAAGGAAAAATTAGCTCCAGTTTTTTCCAAGGGAAATAATTTTCTGTTCGTGTTCTGTTATTTTCAAAAGACTCTAATGCTGTTATTTCAAAACTAAATATCCTCAAACAAGGCAAAGACAATTCTTCGTTCAATAATGCCTACAGATGCCAAAGTTTTAGTGTTGTGTTAAGTCCTACAGGAATAATCCAAAATTTTGAAAATGTATATGGAAACATTCTTTTAAAATGAATTTAAAATATTCCACCCTTTTAGGATCAGATAACCTTAGAAAGAAGATAAATAAACATTCAACAAGAGAGAGCGATGGGAGGAGGAAAGACAGAGAAGAAGGGCCTGAAGAACTCACAGTCATCCTTTTCCCCTCCCCAAGAGAAAATTACAAATCACCAATAAAATTTATTCTGCATTCTTGCTCAACTAAAAGTTGGGCAGGGTCGTTGTGAGACAAAATAATAGAAAGGAGGCGCTCTGATGTCATTTAGTAGGAGTATTAAGAAGCCATGTCTCTTTCTCTTGGCACAGATCTCTGGCTATCACAACAGTAAATTCCAGCCTGCCTTTTTTTAGGACACAAACAGATTAGATATTTCTTACAGCTAAATGTTTTCTCTGGATGCAGCTACTTTCATAGCTGATTAGTTGACTAAAAGCCATAGTATTTTTAAACTAGTTCGTTTATATAGATAAGGCTTTTTTTTCTTCCCCAACATAACACCAGTTAACTTTGGCGTCAAAATACGGCCTCCTGTCATAGGAAAAGCACATGCAACTGATGAGGACTGAACACTGCCTAATACTCACAGTGGGATGAATACATGGCTTAAGGCTGTTTATGTTCTAGCAAGAATGAGGATCTTTTATTAAGTTAAATAACACTCTATCTTAACACCTAAATAAGTGTCAGATGTGAAATATAAACATTTTTATAGATATGCTATGAATTTTAATATCATTTGACTTTATTTTATTATTTTCTACCTACACAGTATATATTCATTAACATTTTTAATGGAGAGAAGGACCACATATAAAACACCAAATAGTTTTTTTAAAAAGGAAAAGAGGGCAGAGTTCTCTCTAAATAAACAAATTCAAACAGAAAACAAAAGTAGAAAACCTGAAACAAGAAATAATTGTTGATGAACTAATACAGCTTTTAAGAAGCTACTAAATTCTTCTTTCTATTGTTGAAATCATTTTAATTCATATTCCTCATTAATTTAAGGCAGGAATTTTTGTGTTTTGTTTACTACTAGATCCTCACAGCCTAGACCACTGCCTGACATACAGCAGGTGTTCAAAAAAATCTTTGCTGAATAAAAGAACAAAGGAAGAGAGCCTGTCAAGTCGGGACATAAAATCTGAAATTGGTCAAAAGCAATAGGGATCCCAAGGACCCCTTTGTCTGTCACTGTGAGATTTCTTAAGAAGAAGAAAAAAAAAGTATGAAAATAATCAGTAAATGAGGCTCTAGATCAGTCTACAAACCTGACAATAAGAAAACAGAAAGTATGCAAAAGATAATTGGAATGTTACACTCCTCTTTCACAGGAGTAAGACAACCTCACTTTCATCAAGAAAGAAGTGGATTTGAAGTAGCAAGAAGACATCAGATGAAAAAAACTGCCACAGAGTAAAGGGCTCAATAAATACCTCTGAATAAATGAAAGGGTATCCACAAACCATAACTGTTCTCAAAGAGCTCATGGTCCACAGGGTGAGAAATAAATAGGCAGATTCAAATCCTGATAGAAAAGAAGGTAAAAATAGGTGAGAAAGGTGACAAAATTAAAAGGAAAACTGATCCTTCTTTTTCCAACATATGACACATTTGGAATTTGTGCAAAATCGCATATGTCTTCGAAAGGACACAATGGATCACTAGAGGTAAGTTCCACGAAAAGCCTCGGAAATACAGATTAATAAATCTGAGAATTTTCATATGAGAGAATAACGAAGAACTCAAAATCTTCTGGAATGATGAAAGCTCAAGGGAATACAATTGGAGGTTGAAAAATGTACAAAATAAATGGCATGAATAAGCACCTGTTCAAAAAAGCTCAAGAACTGTGGAATGAGAGACAGCTCACACAGTGTTACATTGGTGCATTAATGATAAACTTTTAAAAATACCAGAACCAAATATAGCACAGACTGAAAATATAAATGTATTGGGGCATATATAGAAAAAAATCACAATAAAAGATGACTCTCATAGCCTGAGGTAAATCTAACCTATGGCCATGGGTTGTTTTTTTTTTAAACTCTTTATTACAAAAACATCACACGTATACAAATTTAGATATGCATGTATTCATTCATCATCCAGCTTCAGTAATTATCAATCCACAGTCAGTGTCATTTCACTCATACCCCTTGTTTCATTTATATCCACTTCCCTGCCCTAACCCTTGGATCATTTTGAAACAAATCTCCAACACTGCATCATTCATCTGTAAAGATTTCAGTCAATATTTTAAAAACATAAGGTCACTTAAAAAAAAAAACCTAACTATAATACCAACAGCACACCCCAAAAAATGAACACTAATTCCTCAACATCATCAAATACCCACTCCATTCAAAATTCTGATAGATATGCAATAGCATTTTTAAAAATCAGTAATTTATTGTCACATTTGAAAACAGAGCTATTTCAACCAACTCTAGGTTTCTGACTTCTTTCTCTCTTAACAAAAATATCTAGCAACTCTGGGTAAACATTCTGGAAAAGCAACACTGAGCAGAAATGACGTAGCCACTTTCCCTTTTATGCAGGTCTTGCACCCTGCAGTCCACCCCACTCCTCACCACTCCCTATTGTCCTGCCCACTACACAATCCACACATCTACATCACCTGTCTGGCTCTCAGCCACAAATGAGTCTACAATCCTAAATCTAAGATAATAGAAATTTTGGATACTTGGACCCCATCCTATAGCTTTGAGGTTAATGATGTTGTAAGTGGTGACCACACTCATGATTTAGCTTTTCAGACTTCAATAAGTCACAGACAGAACAGAAAGGAACAACCCTGAAGACAAATGCTCCAATTTTAGGGTCAAACCACGGGCAGAACCAGAGAAGATGCAAAGTCAACAGACAAGGAAGCCAAGAGGTGGGGGATGAAGGAGTTATGAGGCAGACTGATTTGATTAGTTCAAGAATTATTTGGAGAACCAAATTATGTGTTGGGCTCTCCTCTCAGCAATGCATTCCAAGATCTGGAGATGGGTAATGTTGCTTTTAAAGGAGTTATGCCAAGTCCAACACTACATAAAGCCTTTCCTCCTTCCCCATTCATTTGTCAGTTCTGAAATGTGAGAATGCAAGCACAGTAGGTTAAATTAAAAGTGTAGTCACTGGGGCGACATATTAATGCTCTTAAAATTGAAACTAAAATTAAAATCTAAAACAAGATCTCGTACACTCACCTATATCTTATATGTGCACTCCTTTTCAGATACGTTGGAATGCTCAGTACTCAATGGAAGAAAATAAAATGGTGTGTGTTTGACAACCAGATGCTATTCAAAATTAAACGAGCTTAATTTTAAGACTGGCAGAAGAGAAGACGTATAATTTGCTTACTATGCACACAGTAAACTAAAAACTAAAAAAAGGCAATGAGTATGAAATATTAAATAATTACTTCTCAGGGTATTTTTGTGCACTTTGATATTAATGGCTAATAATAATTACTGTACCTTATCCAAGACACACCTAGACTGAGAAATTAAATTCCTAGCATATGGGGAGATATACCAGTCGATGCACATGCTTAATTCCCATTATGTTAATAGAACCAGAGGAAATGCACCCAAGGGGAAAAAAAAAGAGATTCCAGAAACTTAATATAACGGGAAATCTGGAAGGGTCTTTTTCCTTGGAAGTAGGTGAATTAATTTTTGTTAAAATGTCTCAAAATAAATATGTATCCAGGACAGAAAAGCTGAGTACATAAATGACTTCATGGAAAGTAACTCCCACAATTGACACTTGTCTCCTTGTGTATGAAAATGTGAACTTGGCCTGGGACTCCATAAGGATGCTTAGACAAGGAAATCAGTCATCCATCTGAGACCCCACCACTGCTCACGTCTTTAAAGGGGAGATGTCTTGCCTTTCTCTTTTCTATTTGTTAATTCTAATTCCCTATTAAAGAGTCTGACCACGGGGATACAAACTCTAGTCACTATTAGAGCCATGCCTCCACGTCATACATGGAAAAGGCTAGAGGTCCTGGAGCAGGTAACTTGGGTTCAAGAGGCTGGAGCTCTAGAGCAAGCCACTAGGATGACCTTGATCTTGACCTCAGTATTTATATCTGGAAAGAAGGATGCTAATAAGCCCTATCCACTTACTTGACAAAATCAAAAAGTCTCCAAAACAATGCCATGTATGGATGAAAGTAACTACACAAGGCAGAGCACTCTACAACTGCAGGGACCACAAGCAGTTTAGTGCTGTATGCTCTGCTTTTCAGAGCTTTGATTCATTTATTATCAGTTTTTTATCTTTGGGCCTTTTTTCAAATATAAGAGTAATACACATCAGTATAAACAAATTAGAGTAAGATAAGCAGACAGAAGAGGGGGTATTATTCACATTCCCACCACACCAATATAACACCCATTAACACTGTAGGTATATGTAACATACACACACACACACACACACACACACACATATATACATACACAGATATATATATATATACATCTAAAGCCAGTGTTGCCCCCTACCCCTACCCCAGCTGACATCTGGCAATTTCTGGAGACGTTTTTGGTTATTCACAATACAGTAAGAGGTGGATGAGAGGTGCTAAGGACATCTTGTGAGCAGAGGCCCAGGATGCTGCTGAACCTTCTACAATGCGTAACACAGCCATCTGCAATAGAGAATTACCCAACCTCAAATGTCAATAGTGCTGAGGATGACAAACCCTGATCTAATACACCTGCGTATAGGTGTACATAGCATCATATACAGCACTGATGTTAGAATGCCATTCTGAAATGTCTTTCACCAAACTGTGCTAGGTGGAATGGCAGTCCCAGAATCCCACAATGAACCAATGTTTGCTGCTATGATAACAACATACCGGCAATAAGTGAAACTTAATACTGAAATTATAAAATATTTCTCCATGTACATTTAACAGAGGCAGTGTTTATGATAATAGACACCATTTATCATTTGCTCTTCCAAATTCTTCAGTAACTGTAGGAAGCTACTGGGGTGACAGGGATGAGGAGAGCTAGGATGGCTCTTGCTGGAGTAGACTGAAGGCTGCTGCTTTGTCACTGACTTCTACAAAATACATTTCTTGATATCCTGATACTGCAGCTGAGGCACACTGACATTAGACTGACCATCAAGAGTACACAAGAGATTCAGATTACTAAGGGGGCATTGGTAAATTGTGGGCCATCTATTTTTTTTTTTGGCTTTTCTTATGAATGAGTAGTTAAGAGTTAAGAAAATAAATAAGTTATATATTTTAAATTCTCTTTAATAAAAGTAAATATCACTTTTTACACAGCTAAGAAATCAAACAGCAAAACTCTATCAAAATAAATTGAATAAGTTAATAGAAATGGAAAGATAACAAATAGAAAAGACATTCCACAATTTCTTCTTAAAGAACACTGTACAAAAAGAGACCAGTTAAATGAGATCAACCTCAAAATCAAAATCAGAAGTATTATCTTATTTTTGACTTAGTAATATACAGTATACATCTTTATAGGTTATGTTTTATATATATATTATTTAACACCACAAGAATATATCATTGTATAGGTACTTATAATTTACCTAATCAATAACTTACTGTAAGTATTTATATTATTTCCAATCTTTCATTAAATTAAATGTTACTCTGAACACCTTCATTGTGAAGTCCTTACCTACATTTTGAATTATACTGTGAAATTGGTAGAAGTTGAATTAAAAGTCAAAGTGTAGGAATCATACCTCCATTGCCCTCCAAGAGATTTTACTGGAAAGCAAAATTCAACCTCACCTTGATACTTACTCTTTTACCTTCTCTAACAATCGGACCCTATTCATGAAAGTAGTGCCCACTTCAGTTCCTTGAGAGCAGGGGTGTTTTCAGTGACAGGGATTACTTTAGGCAATAGGAAATAGGTCACAGCTTGTCTAAACCTGCCTATATTAATGTGACTGCCAGGTTTTCATTCAACCGAGTACAAACCACTGAATTATCATTCAGGTAAAAGTTCAGAGACAGAGCCATAGCAAATCTGATTCAGCCATGAGGGAAGCCCTCATTAGCAGTCAAAACTAACCTACTAACCTCATCCAACTATGTGTCAATTCAATTTTCATATGTAATTAATGTTTAAAATGTTGTCCCCAAGCACCACATACAGGCCTCCTCCTTCTGATGGGTTCTCAGCAAACACTATTGGAGACAGACCTTATCTGAAGTTCCAGACCTTTCTTTTGTTGTCCCTATGGTTAAGAATTTGGCCTTTATTCTTCTTCTGGGAGCTGCTCAGCTCAACTAGAAGACACTGGAAATGGTTTGGCCAACTCAATGCAAGACACATGAGGTTCCCAAGGCAGGTGTTTTTTAAGTCATTACAGCAGACTGTGTTCATGCTTGGGCATATATGCCATCCATACAAAACCTTTCTTATCAAGTGGAAAGGGTTCCTCAAATGTGAAGAGGGCTCCCTGTTTCAATAACACGGACTGTGATGTCATGGTGTTGCAGTTCTCCTCTCCGGCCACTAGGGTGCCATTTTCTGCTCCAAAAAGGAATTGGCTAGATGGGGCCTCCAGCCTATAATACCTCCTTCCAAGTGTGAATTTATTCTTTCCCGCCTCGCTAGCAAGTTTTACTTTTCCAGCTTGGCACATAGAATCTTGCAAGTCTCCCTGGAAGGTGACTCATATTTAAATATGAATGGGGCAGCTGGCTTCTGTTATCTTAAAGGGTTACATTATGTCATTGCACATTTTCAACTGGGGTAAAAACAAACTGTGCTCTTTCTACACATCAATTCCAGTAATATATATATTTGTACAAGATCACAGGGACTTATAAACTGTCTGAAAATTTTCCAGCTCTAAAAATTAAGACCAATGTACTACATTTCTTAGTAATTCAGCAACAACTGAAAAAAAAAATCCTTTTGTTACCTGTCAGGCTGTTTAGGATTATTTCTAAAGAAATGATGATAATGATCATGATGATGATGGCAAGGATGATACTAACAAGAGCGATGATAATAAATCATGTTAACATATTCACCTTACACCCAGGACTATACCAACAGCTTGATATGTAGTCTTCACTACTATCCAAAGAAAGAGGTACTCTTGATTGTTCCCAACCTTCAGATGATGACACTAAGGGCTCATTGAGAAAAAGGTCAAAGAGTTAGAAAATGGTAGAGGCAGGGTTTGAAAGTAGCCCATTTTAGCTCCAAAGCCTATGCTCTTAACCATTATGATACACATTCATCCACAGATCTTAGTAAATAATTTTCTAAGGCTCTGGTAAGCAAATCTTCAATTTTCCTCAGGATACATTTCTTTTAGGAAACATTTCCCAGCCACCTCAGGCTGGGTGAAATGTCCTGAACTCTCCTAGGTACCACATACATAAGCCCTCTGTTAGACCAGGCAGCATCCTCAACACCTTCTATTTTAACAACCCCTTTGTAGTCACTCCTGCCCCTACAATGGAGTGAGAAGTCCTTCAGGACACCAAGCTTAATTTCTTCTAACAGCATCCCATACCTGGTAGCCACTTGGTAAGTGTTTGATCAAAGAATGAATATTTGAGCAAATATGTGATATCCTTTATTGTAGAGCAGAGAAGTGGAATCTCAGCCCTGTATTCCTCTTCTATTTTCAAATTATCCTCCATCATGAAATTTACCACACTGGAAAGTTATCCCACAACCTGTCTCCTTCCAAAGAATGGCGGGCACTGCAGCTGGACCACCTGGGTTAGAATCCTGGGCCATCCTTCTCTTGTTGTAGATCTAGGGTTTAACCGTCTTGTGTCTGTTTCCTTAGCAGTGAAACGGGTTCTTCAGCAGCACCTAATCCACACTACGGAGCTGGGAGGTGGGTTAAATATCATAATGCAGGTACTGTGATTAGATTAGTGACTGACACAGAGCAGAAACTTAGTAAAAGCTAAGCACAGTAGTAATAACAATAGTATCAATACTTGTAGGGACAAAAACAATAGTATTAGCAGTAAAAGTATTCTCTGAAAAACTGAGCATAAAAAATCAAGGAGGAAAGCTGAGGACACAGCTTCACTTTTTAAAAGTGTATATGCTACTTGGTGCTTTCCCTTTAAGGAACGTAACTAACCTTATCAAAAACAGTACACATCTTTAAATACCATCCCTCCCCCCCAAAAAAGTTATAATAACAATATAATCACTTTTACGTGCCAAGGACTATACTAAACTTTTATGAGCATTATGTAATTTAATCTTTATAACAACATTTCACGGTAAGTCCTGTTAACCTCAGTTACAGATGAGGAAGTAAAGATTCAGAGAGGTATAGTCATCTGCCCAGACCCACACAGCTGGTAAGTTACGGAGCCAGGAAATGAGCTTGAATTTATTTACTTAATGGCCTGTCCCTTCCGCTAGACTGAAAGCACCATAACTATTCTGTTCATTATGGTATTCACAGCCCATAGCATGGGGCATAATAGCAATATGGAATTTGGAATATGTAAAAAAATAAAATGAAGGAATAAATAGATGAGTAAATCCAGAGCCTAAACTCTTATGTGAGATGAGTAACACTTTTGTCTAACACATCACTGGCAAAATGAGAAGCTGGCTGAGAGATTTTATAATAATAGTAATAATAATACTTATTGGGTGCCTACTATATTCATAGTTCCTATGCTAAAGGCCTTATAAACATATCTCTAATCCTTCCATCAATCCATAAGTTGGATATTATTACCTCTATTTTACATATACCTTATGTTACCCAGCTATGCAGGATTTGAATGCAGATCTTTTCCTAAAACTCAAGACTTCTCCTCTTTGGGACACTAACTCTGAAACAGGGACAAAGTCAGGTGTGTGCTCCATTAACTCTCAAAGAGACACATGTGATTCATGCCAATCAAACCCCAAGAGTTAAAGGAAGTTTCATAATTCCACTGACTGGGCCTGAGAAGAATCGTTCATGACACTGGTTACTCCAGGTGCCCTCTGTGTGCTGAACTCTGTTTCATCCCCTCCCAGTATATTTTACAGGGTTGAAGGAGTTATATACCTTCTGCTATCTGTTTCCTTCAGGGAACAGGTGTACAGGTTTGCACTTTGACTTTTGAGTATGAACAGTTTATTCCAACACCTGATGTTTAGTTTTAAGTTACTGGAGCCTCATGCCTCTGGCAAATGTTACACCAAGCCATGGATTTGCTTATAAGTATCAGTCAGTTCCTACTAAACCTCTCCACTTCTCCACTAGTAACCGATCCCAAAGTGCTTTCCCACTTCTGCTAAATGCTCTAATAATACCATCTGACGAATAAAGACAAGAATCAATCCATTCATTCATTTTCTCAACAACTACTTAGTGACTGCTTACAATGCATCGTACATGGTCACTTTTGTAAAGGGCACAAAGAAGGCATCAAAGAAAATCAATGGCAGTAACTGCTGTTGCTGTTAACTTTATTCATCCTTTCATGCACAGAGGCAGAATAATGGTCCCCCAAAGATAACTACATCCAAATCCTTGGAAACTGTGACTACATTGCCTTACTTGGAAAGGGGGACTTTGAACATGTTAAGGGCCTTGAGACAGGGGATTGGCTTGAATTATCTGGCCCAACCTAGTCACATGAGTTCTTAACAGAATCTTTTCCTTCTGAGGTGAGAGGCAGAGGAAGCTCTGACTACATAAGAAGAGTCAGAGGGATGCAATATGGCTGGCTTTAATGATGGAGGAAGTGCCAAGGAACTTGGGCGACCCCTAGAAGCTGGAAAAGACAAGGAAACAAATGACCTCCTTGAGCTTCCAAAAAGGAACACAGCCCTGCCAACACCTTGATTTTAGCTCAGTGAGACCTTAGAATGGTAGGATATTAAATTTATACTGTTTACAAGTGATCCTGTGTTACAACAGCAGTAGAAAACCAATACACAATGTAAGCAAAAAAGAAATAGTTCTCCTATGCTTCCAAATAGTAGGGAAACTGATTTTCTAGAAACAGATCAAGGGTAAAAAAAAAATTGACTTAATTTTAAAAAAAATCAACTTTTATGCTTAAAAACTAAAAGTACAAAAAGGTAATGAATAATAAAATAAATATTAGTACTGGATACACTTGGTACCAGCTGCAAAAATACCTATTACATGTATCACACTGCAAATCTTCCAAAATCAATATGCACATTAGAGGATTAAAATGTACTCCCTCACCAGTTGGGGTAGATGGTCATTCCTTATAACCATTCGGCAGAACTCCAAACGGCTCACCAAAAAGTTCTGCAGCAATCATTTGATTTTCATTTTTCCCCTTCAAATGTTTTCACTGGTCACATTCACCTGTAAATTTGTTCTGTCCAAAAAATGTGTTTTCCACTCAGATCATTTCATCCACTGGGAGGAGAAAGGAAAAAAGTATTGGAATTGTGCCGCAGAAGAAAAGAAAACTAACTTTCTTTCTGTGGAGGATCTTGCTAAAATGAAACATCTTTCCCATGAAATGGAGGCTAGCACAACACAACAGAATACTAACAAAGTCTTTTCATAATATTTTTCCTAAAGATCACTTGCATTTTAAAAACTGCCTTTCTAAAGCCCCACAAGTGATACTTAAAAAGATAAATCACTTCTGAGCAAGTGTTACTTTTTCCTTACATTTCTGGTTAACTTACATATGCTTCTGTAAAGTTACCTTTACTCAAAAGAATTTACCAGAAGAAAAGATCATGTAGAGCTAAAAGAAATAATCTGAACGATACAAAGCCCCGCATTCTCCCAAGATAACACACTTACATGGCAAGCCCATATTTGTGCTTAACAACTGGAGGAAAAAGTACTTGTGTTTAATATTTCACAAACAATATATTCATTTTATGTGCATTTAATACATGCAATTTTAGACTCGGGCTTCTAAATCTTAACAGTCCCTTCATAATGAAAATTGAATGCATCATGCTTTTAGATCTGGTGGGGGGGGTGGTGAGGAGGATGTATAAATTTTAAAGGAAATATGTATCTACTTTTTCCTCCCTCAAGAAAAAGGAAGGTGGATAAAGAAAACACTGATGGTGTCAGGGTGTTGGGCCATTGGTGAGCAGGTGTGTGCTGTTGAATGGATCTCTAGTGAATTGGAAGCTTTTAAAAGAGATTGATTCTCTCACTTAACCAGTTACTTCAAACATGCTTTTAAAGGTATTAATTACTTTGCAGGAAAGAGTCTCCATTTGCTTCTAAATTGTTTCTTTAGGTGATTCTTTGCTGGCAAAAATGTCTGGGGGAGAACTGAACATTCTGCCATCATAATTTTAAATAACATTTAAATAATATATTTAATTAAATATTACATTAAATGTTATACTTAAAATTATAGAAAAAATTTTAAAGAATATTCAAAATATATTTATAATATATTCAAAATAGATTTCAAATTTTGTAAAATGTTTAAAATTACTTGTTTTAGATGTATAATTTATAAATTTCTATGTAAAATAATTACATGCATTATTCTATATATACATAAATATATGCAAATGCTAGATGGAACAGCTCTTTAAAAAAGTTCACTTTTTGTTTTATTCGTGCATGTATGTGTATGTTACGGAACTCTATGTAAAGGTCTACTATTTGGTTTATTTTGCCAAATTCTGTAAATTATAATCAGACCTTCACTACCTTCAGCATCTTCACTATCTTCAATACCTGTCCCAGGGCTACAAAGTCATTTACTCAATGATTTTTCAGTTTAATCTGCTGAAGGCATCTGAATGTGCATCCAAAAAAGCATCTTTATTTGGCCCCAAATATTTTAAAATACATCGAATCTAGTATCACAGGGGTAGACACCACTGTCATCAAGTCCTCAGAATGTTAAGCACAATTCTGTAGTGCTTTGTGACTTAATTCTTCAGTTTTAGCAGCCTGGGGCGTCCAGGTTCGCATGAAAAAAATTTTGCAGCCCCTCAGGTACCACATATTTTCATAGTGCAGAAGGAACACTTTCCAGTGACAAGAGGCCATTTTGCCAATTTGCTGTCCAGAACAGACTAATGAGTCACAGACAGCAAGAATAAAGAAATTTAACACTCTTGGCATTAATGAGTAGGGTAAGGATTACTCATTTTAAATGATCCTTAGTAATGCCATAAAGTAACAAAATAACACTTTAAAAAACCCACAGGCACCTTGATGTTTGAGCAACTTTATTTTAACCCAGCATCTGGCAAAATTTGTAGGAATATATTCCCTATGCCAAGATTTCTATACCTTTTTCCACACAGGCATTTTGCAACAACAAAAAAAGAATACTGAAAAGAAGAGTAATCCTATCAACTGTGTTCACTCCTCTTAGATTTTAAAATACTACAGCAACTCACTATCACCCATCTGGAGTTTTAAAAGCTTCACTGCTAATGTGAAGTATATAGATAAGTGAAACACACAAGGAAAAAATCAACATCAAAAATGCATCTTTGGTTGACCCAAAATACATTTTAAGACACTGAATGAATATCTAATTGTTAAAACCAACACAAAAGACTGAAGCCTTTCTATGTTCCCAACAGGATAATGCAGTCTAAGAGTTTATAAACACAAGCCAGGAATTAAAATTTGAAACTACCCCAGGTCAGAAATGAAACCACTTTATAATTAGAGAAAAAAACCTACTGGTCCCCAGTGGAGATTAAGAAGGAGATGGTTTCTGAAAACGTACATAAGAGTGACAAAAATAAACAACTTCCACAGTCTGGTGGCACAATTCTGTTCCCTTGTGATGGAAACACAAAAAGGAGTCTCTAACAAGCTCCAAAAATATGTGTATGTGTATTTTAAGTAAAATTTAGCTTTCCAGACAACTACGTTTTTCTGCTGGAAATAATGAACTAACATAAAAATGATACAAGGATGTGTGTTAAAAGGACATTTAAGTGAAACAGTTTGAAGCGCTTCATAAATTTACCGAAGATTATATTAAAGCTGAGTACATAAGATGTAGTGATAAAACAATTTGGGGTGGTTCCTTCTTTAAGCAAGGATGGTTTGGGCTTTATCAGAAACCACGCTTGCATAACTAATCAGTGGCATGACCAGCCTAGGCTTTGAAATGAGAGTCCCAGGCAGCCCCCTTGTAACACATATACGTTCAAAACTCATTATGTTTGATATGCCTTGTTCTTGACCTAAATGCAATAGAAATTCTTCCTTAGGGTGCATGATATACATGAAAAAGTACAACTTCTTTTTAAAACGCCATTAGAATATTTTATTGTGTGTGGACATACACTCTTGTTACTCCTAAATGCTATTCTATTGAGTACAGTTTATATTCACTGGCAAAGTGAAATCTCCAGGGAAGCCAGAGAGGGGAATGCAATTTCTAGTAATAACAGCTCACAACAGTGAATACTATCCACTTATCCCCACAATTTCCAGCTATTTTGGACTCCTTTCTGAATTAACCTTTCATATCAAAAGGAGCAATTCTGCACACTAGAGACTCCGGCACAATTTCATGCATAATTTATTCACTCAGTTCAACATTAAACGCACAGTCCTTGACTTTGTCAAGGTGGATTCTGTTGGCAGACTTCACAAGCAGCAAAACAGGAGAAATGAGATCTACAACTCAACCTCTTCACCTGTTCTGTCTGGTGAGAGTTGGTGGGTGGGGGCAGAAGAAGGGGAAAACAAGACAAGATGGCAGCACGGCGTGCTGGCATCCAGAGAATCGAATCACTGGCAAGCACACAGTATTTTCACACTGTTAACCTCTCAAAGGGTTGGTTTTTTGTTTGTTTGTTTTTAAGTCCAGAAAAATTGAAACTAGCTTGAATTCTATTTCACCAATGAAAAGTCTGGGGTGATCTGTTACCTTCCTGACAATCCCAGCATTCGTGGGAAGCAATACTTTGATCCTGAGTCCCTCAGTAGGCGCTGTCGGAAGAAATGACTCAAACCCGTTACTCAGACTCAGACATTAGCTTGAGGTCATATTAGAAGGGCTCGTTTTAGAAATTTAAATAACACAGACCTTCCAATGAGATCCCAAATCCCAGATCTGCACTCCCAAATTGGCCTTCAAGAACACAGACATTCATTTTCTCTCTTAAATGATCCATTTGAAACCTCAAATGAGGGATGTGTGAAACCAGTTAGAAAAACGGAACCCTGATATACTATGAAACTGTGAAACTGTTCCTCCGCCTTTTTGAGCGTCAGCTGACGCTCAGAGTAGACAGAACATCCATTCAGTCTCCTTCAAAAGGCCACCTCGCTCAGAGCCATTCTATCCAGACACCTCAACCCAACTATTGTCCAGAGTGAGACCCACAGATCGCTCTATTTCCCAATATGCCGGATTACAAACTATGTGGTTCATCCTGTAACAGATTTTTTTTTTCCTCTGTCAGTGATTATTCTATTAGGACTTAATATATGCCAGCAAGTTTGCCGGCATTACTGAGTTTATTCCATGCAAACCATGTCCCTCTCAGGCCTCCCTCTGCCTTGAAACCCCAATTGTGAAACTAAAGCAATAATTAAATTGTAGCACCGAGACCGAATAAGTGATTTCCCTGAATAAGAGACAAAGTGAATTGCTTCCTAACTTTAGCACTTGCCCTTTAAAATATTACCTCCCAGCAGCCACGGCCCACTTTCCAAACCTGTGGATAATATGAGGCCTAGGAGTATACAGAGAGACGCCTTTGGAAATTTCACAAAAAGCTGGAAATTTTCACGCAGGACCCTTGGCAAAAGTCTTTAAATTTCAACTTTCTTAGCCAGCTGCCCCCACAGGCTAGTTAGAAGCCCAAAGCACATA